TAGTTTTCCAGAATCCCAGTCAAACCATGATAAGAACATAATTGGCATGTGAAGAAATACAGAAAAAAATAATTCTACTTTATTTATTTGAGACATTGCTCATTGAAATCTTGAATTTGTGGGATTGCATTTACATTCTCTTCTCATATTCGTTTTTTTTTCTCCTAGCAACAACCTCCAGCCTTATGTACGACTCACTGTAGCATCTCCTCGTCCTTGAATGATTTGGACTGGGAAGAAGTCACTAAAGGAGCCCGTCTAACCCAGGAGTTGCTGACCTATCTAGATAAATTTCAGGTTTCATGCAGTCAAGAAAACTAAAGAGTGTGTAGATGCATACATACAGACCTATCACTGTAGAGCAGTGGTTGTCAACCTTCCTAATGCTGCGACCCCTTACTACAGTTCTTCATGTTGTGGTGACCCGCAACCATAAAATAATTTCATTGCTACTTCATAACTGCAATTTTGCTACTGTTATGAATTGTAATGTCAGTATCTGATATGCAGGATGTATTTTCATTCACTGGACCAAATTTGGCACAAATACCCAATACGCCTAAATTTGAATACTAGTGGGGTTGAGGGCGAATTGATGTTGTCATCTGGGAGTTGTAGTTGCTGGGATTTATAGTTAACCTACAATCAAAGAGCATTCTGAACTCCACCAACGATGGAATTGAACCATACTTGGCCCACAGACTCCCATGACCAACAGAAAATACTGGAAGGTTTTAGTGGGCATTGGCCTTGAGTTTTGGAGTTGTAGTTCACCTACATCCAGAGAGTACTGTGCATTCAAACAATGATGGATCTGGACTAAACTTGGCACAAATACTCAATATGCCCACATGTAAACACTGGTGGAGTTTGGGAAAAATAGGCCTTGACATTTGGGAGCTGTAGTTGCTGGGATTTATCGTTCACCTACAATCAAAGAGCCCCTTGAATCCCACCAACGATAGAATAGGGCCAAACTTCCCACATAGAATCCTCATGATCAACAGAAAATACTGCAGGGATTTGGAAGGAGTTGACAGTGATTTAGGGGAGATGTAGTTCACCTACCTCCAGAGAGCACTGTGTTCCTAAGACCATCAGAAATACGTGTTTTCTGATGGCTTTAATGACCCCTCTGATGCCATCTCGCGACCCTCAGGTTGAGAAACGCTGCTGTAGAGGGCATTGTTGCTTCTGAGTATTTACATAAAGGCTTCTTCCATATGCATGACTGATATTTGTTTCAAAGGAAATATGGGGAAGGATTATGACAATGTAGGGACAGTGTGTCTGTGTGTCTAGATAGGAGGTGCTCTCAGACCAAATACCTCAGTCTGCAAAAGTGGACTTCTCACAGTGCAATTTTATATATGTTTACTCAGAAGCACTTCTAAATAAAAGGACACAGGATTGAGCCTTAGAGCATGGATCCTACTGGCAGCCCCAACAAGGGCTGTTCCATTGAATCAATGGGATTTACCCAAGTGTAAATCCCAGTGCTCAAAACTCTACATGCCATTCAGTGGATCCTCTCAATAGAATCCAGGGTTTAAGAGTGCATCTCTTTATGTGACAAATGCACAAGGCACATATGTGCACTCCTAGAATAGGTGTGTGTGTACATATGTAGGTATGAGTTGCATGATACAGAATGAAGCCAATGTTTCAGTGCAATGCATTCACAAGAAATGTACCTTTAAGGGCTCTTCCATGCAGCCCTGTATTTCAGAATATCAAGACAAAAATCCCACAATATCTGCTTTGAACTGGGTTATCGAGTCCAAACTGCCATATATTCCAGTTCAAAGCAGATAATGTGGGATTTTCTGCTGTGTGGAAGAGCCCTAAGACAATGTCCAGCACTAATGGATAAAAGCCATTTGATTTATATTATCTGGTCAACGTATTTATGTATTAATGTTAATATTATTGTTATTAATAATATCTATGTTGTTTATTCATTCACTGTGATCACAAACTGATTGCCTTTGTAAAGCTGGAGAGTGAAAATATTTTAAATAAAAGCCAACTCTTTTCTACCTCTCTGGTTGTAGTGTATTTCTAAACAGTACTAAATTTTCTCAAGGCTGGTCTGTGTACTCGTGTTGATAATATGTTCATCTCTAGCCTAACTAGTTGCCTGCAAATCAAACCAAATATGTTGCCAGTACTGATTTCACCATGAATTTCCACATCATGCTTAAAGAGCCACAACCTGTGTTTGAATTTCAAGTGTTTTATTGCTTATAAAATGGCACCTATTGAACTAATAATTTGAAACATTGCCTTCATGAACTGTAAGATGAAGTCTACAACTGCTCAACCACTGAAAAGGGTTAGGCTCCTCCTTGATTTTTAAATATAAACCAGTATACTTAAGGGTCCTTCCACAGAGCCCTATATCTCAGAATATCAAGGCAGAACATCCCACAATATCTGCTCTGAACTGGATTATCTGAATCCACACTGCCATATATTCCAATTCAAAGCAGATTATGTGGGATTTTATACAGCTGTGTGGAAGGGGCCTAAGTCTGCCATTTCTGGACTATCCCAGGTCCCAAGATTTCAAGAACAAAACCTGCTACTTAAGGATGATCTTTTGTGGTATCACAGTGGGCAGGCCTTTGTGGTGTTACAAGGATGGTGTCACAGGGCCCGTTCAGACAGTACTTTTACCCCAGGAGCTTCCGCAGCAAACAGGAAGGTGACCAGATGCTGTTCTCTGTAAACGCAGAAGCAGTTGCTACAAACTACAAAAAACATAAGATTTCCAGGTGCGGGAATATCCTGGTTCAGAGCCAAAGATCTGCATCTTCGAATGTCTGCATGTTCATGCATTCGGAAATCACAGGATTTTTATCTAGCTTTGTTCCCAGGTTTTAGAGTTTTGTTCCTGATTGGTTAGTTCCAAAAAAGAAGGTGAGAGATGAGTAGAAGGTGACAATTTTGTTTGTGTGCCAGAAACTTCATGGAACGTGTGGAGGGCACATTTTCTCTGGCCAGAATATAGTTGTGGCCTCTTAGTCAACGTTGTACATCTTTTCACAAAAAAAAAAAAAAAAAGAGCAATCAGGAATAGATATGTATAACCCAGGAACAACAACCTGTCTGCACAGATGGTCCTGCAGCTTATATAACCCAGAAACGGAACTTATACAATGATTCGCATCTTCAGTTTCTTTTTTTAAAAAAACTGGACGTCCTGAAATGGCCATCTTCGGAGCCTCTAAAACCCTCAATGAAGCAGCAAGTGTGGATGATGGAGGCAGAAATCCTGGGATGAACAGGTCTGTATGTGGATCTCTTTTGAAGTTCTGGGATTTTTTTTGCCCTGCAATTTGCTGCTGTCTGAAAACACCCACAGAGGGCATCCTCTACTGATGTCATAGGTATGACAACATTAAGCATCAACCACAGTTACAAAGAATATGCCATTTAAATAAAAAAGGGCAAGTCTAACTAATATAGAGATAAAATTTAGGGGTCTTTGCCAGGAGGCAGAGACCAATTAGACTCATCAAAGAGTTCTTTTTCCCTGGCAAGACAGAGAAGCATCCCATATTTTTCCCTGATTTCCCAATGAAAAGTCTCACCAGTTGAAGAAAAGCCATCAAGGTTTAATGCGATTCAGCTGAAATGGATGCAGAGCTGCAATCATTCGCCAAAGCTAAGCATGAGGGGAGTACACCAATACAGTCATATTTATAGCAAATTCAAAGTTGCAGAGTTCAAACTCCCCGCCCCGGCTTCCCTGTTGTTCCCCGCCATGATTGGGAGATGGGCGAACAGCTGGGAGGCGGCCCTCCCACCCCTGGTGCCTCTGTACCAATCAGGAAGCTCCAGTGGTCCGTAGGATCCAATGGGGAGGCCTCTGCCACCTGGTGGCAACAGCAAATCAGGAGAGAGGGAGGCGGGATGAGAGAGCACAAAGGAATCTGGGAAAGGAGTCTTTAAACAAAGGAAATGCCATGTGGCCTGAGACAAAAAGCTCAAACAGCCGATCTATTGTATTCATGAGTGTTGTGAATCAACATGTGTAAAAATATCCAGATCCTTCCTGGCTGTGAGACAGGAGAACAATGATGGCAGCCTGAGGTTTAATGCTATCAATGGGAAGTGAACAAAAGCAGAGGGGAAGATTTCCCCTTATCTTACACAAACTTTTGTCAAACAATTCTTTACTCTAGTGGGCCATTTCCGATGCTAGAGATAATAATTTCCTTCTTTTATCCATGCAAGTGTGTCTTTGGCATGAGGTTTCAGTAATCGCTAATGGCTTTTGTTTCTGAAGGCCAGGGGGTTCCCTTACATATTTCTTTGGAGGGAGGAGGGGCAAAGGGTCAGGAATACAAGGAAACATAAAAAAAATAGAAATTATACACAGAGAAATCATATGCAGGTATCTTCCCATTCAGAGAGAAATTAATAATACCAATTATAAAAAGCAGAAGATATCAGGACACAGCATGAATTCATAAGTTGTCTTGAAGAAAGTTCATGGGTAGAGAGCGAGTCCTTGAAGAGAGTGAAGTCCAGGAATGTAGCAGAATTCAAAAAAGCCACCAAAGGGAGTCTATGGAGTTCCACTAGGCCAAGATACAAAGCCCTGCAGCACTGGGATGGAAGCCGGTCCCATGGTCCTTGGAAAACTACAGCTCTAAAGAGAGGCAGAGACCCCAAGGTCTAGCCATTCCCGAAGTTTCATGGGGTCCTCATTGTTGTTAAGGTCTTGGCAAATTGACCAAGACTTAACCCCTATTGTGCAGTCTGGTACCTTTGTCCTTTGCAGAACTATAAGTTACCATCCTTTGTTAGGGGGGGGGGCATGCTTGACTTCATAACTAATGGGGAAAACGGTTTTCACAGTTTTCAAGGTGGTCTTCTCACTATGAGATTCTTCCTCCTTACCCTGAAGACTGAAGAAGAGAGTCCCAGCTCTGAGACTGGGCCTGGTAATCCCAAGTATGACACAGATTTTAAGAAGCAAAAGATCTATATGCAGTCAAACCAAATACTTGTTTATTCTGTTCACAACCCAATGTCTACATAAAGCTCATAAGCAAGATATAAAGACAACAGCAACATCCCTTTATTGCAGACTAGTTTTTGGAGAGGTTTCTGATAATGTATATGGCCACAGATGTCCCCCCCCCCCCCTTCATTTCACCCATTGCTTAGCTAGGCTATGTCTTTGATTAGTAGTAGTAGGACACAGGGGCTTTTTTGGAGGGTGAGTGGGTGTCAAAACTTTCTTTTTTTCTCACTTCCTCAAGCAAACCTCACACAATACAATGATTGTTCAAAGAGCCAATATAGACATATTTTATTCTTCCCAAGGGCAAAGGGAATCTGAAAAAGCTGATAGCAGTAACATAGGAAAAGGACAATGATCCCAAGTTTTCTGCTTTAAACTGAATTATATGAGTCCACACTGCCAGATAAACTGGGATAAACAGAAAATCGGGGATCAGATCCTGGGATATAGCACTTGTCTGGAAGGGCCCTAGGTCTCTCTCCTTTTTAAAAAAAGTACCTATTTCTAACATGGCATGAATGAGATGTGGGTCTCTTCTCTGCACAGGTCAAATAAATTGCAAAAATGTGGCAAAGAGTAAGGAACCCCACTGAGAGAAAGAAACAATGAAAGATGGAGAGAGGGAGAGAAAGAAAAGAGGGTGGGTAAAAGAATAGTGTAAAGAGATAAGAAGGAAGAACTGATGGGCTCATTGCCTGCACAGTTACCACTGCATAAAGCTCAATGCGTACAAAATGTAGTCTGAGTTTGGAGGGTTTCTAAACCCCATTGCTGGAAGGCAGGATAGCACAAGAATGAAAATATTATTGTGGATCAACAATGCGTCCTAGGAAGAGTGGCGCTTTCCCATCCCTTGATACCACGAACAAGAAGGGCTGCTGGACTTCAAAGAAATTGGCAGAACGTGCCAAGGAGACGCCTGAGGCGGCAGCAGCCTCCACCCCTTCTTCACTGATTTGCACCACAGCCTTGTGTTGGGCGCTGGAGATGGCCAAGTCTTTGTCCGGAGAGATCCCACACAGACTGGCATCAAAGAAGAAGCCATAATCTGAAAGAGAAGGTTGAGTTGAATGCAAAAAGGTTAGCTTGGTTACCATTGGAACTCTCCTTTGGGCTCTTCTTTTTTTGAAATTATCAAAGTTGGCAGACTCTGTGAGACTAGTTTCTAGGATCAGCCTGCAATTGTGTGCCCAGGTTGCATCAAAACCAGAGCTGTATAGTGTCAGGCCCCTTCAATACAGCCATATAAAACCCAGATTATCTCTTTCAAACTGGATTATATGGCAGTGTGGAAGGGTTGAGTGGCCAACAGTGGGATTAACAAAGAAATCTGACAAAAGCTGACATGAGGAAGGTAGTGAGAGTTACTAGGATACTATTTTCAATTATTTTGTCAGATTTCTTTGTTAATCCCACTGTCAGACACTCAAGCCAAATCAGTGCTTTACTGAGGCCCCTTCTACACTGCCATATAATCCAGGTTATCATAGCAAATAATCCAGATCTGATTTGAACTAGATTATATTAGTCAACACTGCCATATAATCCAATTCAAAGGAGATAATCTGGGTTTTATATGGCAGTGTAGAAGGGGCCTAACACTATACAGCTCCTACGTTAGTCTGAATGATCAGTATGTAAAGGAAACCTGTTAACACCTTTAAAACTAACTGAGAAAAAGAAATTGTAGTGCATGCTTTTGTAGACTTAGGATGAGAAATAGAGAAGTATTTATAATAAAAATAAAAGGGAAGTAATAATGGGCGAAATAATACACTTACATGTAGAATGAATGGAGTTTGACACTAGCCATGGCTCAATGCTATATATTCATGAGAGTTGTAGTTTTATAACATTAGCTTTCTCTGCCAAAGAGTGTTGGTGCCTCACCGACCTCCAGACCTAAGTATTCCCTAGCATTGAGCCATGGCAGCTAAAGTGGTATCAAGCTTCATTAATTCTAAAGTGTAGATGCATTATTTTCCCCATTATTACTTCTCTTTAATTTGTTTATTATAAAGACACTGCTTTATTTCCCAAACACTTAGCAGTTCAAAGGGAAGAGACGTTATCTAGCCTTCAAACTGGTACAAGAACACCACACCTCAATAATCAATTTCCCATGAACACTGGATAGCAACTGAATTTTAAAAAGTTGCCTTTTAAAAACTCCATCTCCCAAAATTCTGATGGAGTCTATAAGTTATAGTCCAAAATGTAACTTTTCTACTGGGCCTACTGGTTAGGGGTACTCAAAACTCTAGACAGGATGAACTAAATAGAATATTGTATATTTTCATCACTAATTGGCATTTGCTCTTTAAAACTAAACAGGACAATTGTTTTAATCCCATCCACCGTGTTTATTCTTCTTACCCATTCTCCCAATGATTTCCATGAGGTCCTGGGAAGACTCCACCTTGAACTTGGGGAGAGACACAATCGTGGGCTTGAAATGGATGCTCTCTAGCTTGGTCATCACTGACTTGAAGACGTCTGCACTGAGACGCTCCTCCACTTCTGAGAGGCTCTGAGATAGGGATCGAGGCACAATGATCACCAGGCTCATGTTGTGGGACATCTGAAAGCGGCCAACCTGAAAAAGCCAAACAATCCATCAACTGCTAGTCCCTCTTCCATCTTGTGCTGGATGGGGTTGCACTCCCCCTGAAGTCACAGGCCTGCAGTTTGGGGGTCCTCCTGGACTCAGCGCTGACACTCGATGTGCAGGTGTCGGTGGTAGCCTGGAGGGCCTTCGCACAACTAAAACTCGTGCACCAATTGCGACCTTACCTCGTGAAGTCTGACTTGACCATGGTGGTCCATGCCTTAGTTACCTCTAGACTGGATTACTGTAATGCTCTCTACGTGGGGCTACCCTTGAAGACGGCCCAGAAACTACAACTTGTCCAACGTTCAGCAGCCAGATTAATAACAGGGGCAACCTACAGGGAGCGGTCAACCCCCCCGTTTAAGAAGCTCCACTACTTACCTTAGCTTGCAGATAGGAGTCAAAGTAAGAAGCCACTGGATATTTCTTGCTTGTCAACATGGGAACGCTGATGGGAGAGAGACCTGGACGGTAGAATTCTTCCTCCTTAGTATTTTTCAATCTAAATAAGGCCTTCCATTTGGCTGGAAAAGTGAAGAATTTGGCTCAAGGTTATTTATTTAAATCAGGGATGCTTCTGACATGCAGGTCCCTTCTACACTGCCATATAAAATTCAGATTATCTGTTTTGAATTGGATTATATGGCAGTGTAGACTCATATAATCCAGTTCAAGGAAGATAATGGGGATTATCTACTTTGATAATATGGATTATATGGCAGTATAGAAGAGGTGTAACAAGGATACTTGGTGAACATTTTACAGAGAAAATAATCTTCCTCATACCCCCGCAGGTAAGCATTTTGTACATGCAGAACTGCCATGTGGAACATCAGCTAATTTTCAGTAGTGACAAAATACCAGTTTGGCTGTCCAAAATGGTAGCTGCAGCATAGTGAAGTAGTCCACCATAGAGGGGAGAAGGGAGAGTAATCTCTCCATAATCACATGGCCACATCTACACTGACACTATAATGCGGCTTTGAGGCTCAAAACCATGGTGACCACAAAACACACACTGCTAGTGTGTGCTACAGCCTGCATTTAAGGGCATACAGTGCATTTTTAAAAGTTCAAGAGAAGTCAGAGTTCAGTCAAATGATGCACTGTACAGATGCCAATGTATCCCAGAGTTGGGTGAAATTCGCACTGCAAAATGTGGAACACATTATAGGCACGTGTGCCTGATTTTTTTCTTTTTGTGTATGTTAGGAATGACTCGAGAAACTGCAAGTCACTTCTGGTGTGAAAGAATTGGCTGCCTGCAAAGACATTGACCAGGGGACACCTGGATGTTTTACCATCCTTGTGGGAGGCTTCTCTCATGTCCCCCATGGGGAGCTGGAGCTGATGGAGGGAGCTCATCCGCATTCTCCCTGGATTCAAACCCCCAACCTGTTGGTCTTCAGTCCTGCCAGCGCAAGGGTTTAGCCCACTGCACCACCGGGAGCATCTATGCACCTGCTGAAGTGCATTATGGATTCCAGAATGGGGGCTGCCAAAGGACATGGCTGGGCAGCAGGGGACTAACTGGTTCCCCTGGGAGAGGTAATTGATTAGCTCCACTCCTACTGGTTGCTTTCCCCTTTTTCACCCTGTACGATTCTGGAGTGCTGATACGCATCTCTTCCAGAAATTAAGAAAGACCATAGAGTGGTTTGAGGCAAAGTTCCATGTTTAATGTAATCACCCACCTGGCCTCAGACTAGTTCCAGATCTGTCAATCTAATTGTGAACCTGGTTGATATGCCCATGCTGGATGGAGGAGCCACGAAAATCTTCCTGCTTACCTTGGAAGTAGACAGCATTGAGAAGCACCATCTGGGCATCTGGTTCCAAGTCCTCCAAGAGCTTCTTGATCTTGCTGCCAGTATGTTTGCTCACCCAGGCATTGATGTCAAGCACCGCCTGATTGCTGTTGTTGCTCAGAAGTGACATCTTGGTTTGATAGAATTCCCATGTGAGATTGCGAAATTCACTGTCCAAGTTGAATGCTGCGTTTCAAAAATTCAAGGACAGAAGAAGCTGAAATATGCACTCAAGCTATTCACCCAGCTTTCGAGGGTTACCTTAACAGATATTACTAACCTAAACAAAGAGGAAGTGATCACTGCTAGACTGCGCAGGAAAGCCTTTCCCATCCATTTTAACCGTTCTTACACTTAAAATATAAAACTAACTACACTTAAAATATAAAACTAACCAAATTTATTCAAATAGGAAAAGCTGAGTTCAGAATGTGCTTAGAATAAAGGTATTTAACTCATTTGGATTTAAATTAGGCATAGTTTCTTTGTCCCTTTGGATTTTAGTGGGTCTTATCTAAGCTTGATGAAGTTTGAATCCAATCTAAATGCTGTGCTCATAAATTCAATGATCTCACTGAGGTCTGTAATTATATATATGTAATTGTTCTGAAGGAAGCTATATCCACTGACAAGAGATACTAATTAAGATGATCCTCATGTATCCACATATGCCAAGTTTTAGCTCTCACAAGCCATTTTCATATATTGGTGATTGCAAAAATCAAATGTCTTTACCCACAAAATTTTATAGCTGAATAATTCAAGAGACGGCAAATGAAAAAGAAAAAAATACTATTTTAATTAATGATCCTTGTGAAAAATTCTTCATTCATAACCTACCATACCTCTTCTTCACATTTATTTATTTCTAGTAAACAAAACACAAGGAGAAAAATAATAAAATACCATATTATCTTAAAGTTTATAATACAAAAAGAAAAACACCGCGCAATAAAAGTTAATTCAGTCAACATAAAATAACAATGTACAGAACTATAGCAACAAAATGTCAATACAAAAGTAAAAGCCATCAGATAGGGGCCCTTCCACACAGCCATATAACCCAGAATATCAAGGCAGATAATCCACAATATCTGCTTTGAACTGAGTTATCTAAGTCCACACTCAGATGTGGGATTTTCTGCCTTGAGGTTCTGGGATAAAGGGCTGTGTGGAAGGGCCCTCAGATAATCCAGTTCAACGCAGATATTGTGGGATTTTCTGCCTTGATATTCTGGGATATAGGGCTGTGTTAAAGGGCCCTAAGACATGCTCTGCACCCTTCATCTGTATATTATATCTGAACTCCTCAAACCAGTTTCTCCATGTCCATATCATAATTATGAAATATCAATGTCAAGCTCAAAGGAAGTAATAATACTACATTAGGGACCCTTCTACACTGCCATATAATCCAGATTATCAAGGCAAATAATACACATTATCTGCTTTCAACTGGACTGTATGAGTCTACACTGCCGTATAATCCAGATCAAATCTGGATTTTATATGGCAGTGTACAAGGGGCCTCTGATGGTAAGTGCAGGCTTTCTCAAATGCAATGTAGTAAATAATTATTTGACCTCATAATGGCTGGACAATTGCAATCGGATAAAGATTCTGGAAATTAGATACGAAGGATTTATGTTTTTATGTTTTATTGATTTTATTGTTTATGGAATTTTATGGATGTTTATATGCTTTTAACTGTTTATATTATTGTGGCATCGAATTGTGCCAGTCTTGTAAACCGCCCTGAGTTGCCCTCGGGCTGAGAAAGGCGGTATAGAAAAATAGTAAATAAATACTGAAACACACTGCCGCAGAGTGCAGCAGAGTCTCCTTCTTTGAAAGTTTTTATGACCATTTGTCATATTTCAGTCAAGCAGAGTGGGTCTAGATGGTCCTTGGGGTCGCTAAAATTCTATTATTCAAATCCACAGCTACAAACCAAAATTCAACTCTAATTTATAACAGAACGATGACCCCTGTTTAGAAACACACATAAATCAGATCTTATCTGAGAAAAATGGATGTGGGGGAATCCTGAGATTGGCAATTTACTCACCTGGTTGGTAAAAAATTGCATTGGCTGAAGTCAAGGCTTCTGATTTGCTGAAGGCTTTCAATGCTTTATGGACACACGTAAACCCTTTAGGATAGAAGAGCAGCTTCTCCAGACGGTCTGTAGTTTCACCACAGGTTCCTGTATAGCAAAGACATGGGTTCACAGAGCATAACTGAGCAAGCCAAAGTTTTAAGGAGGGAAGGGCCATCTCTGCTTGTTAAAATCACGAGAGTTCAGATTTTGGAACAATAGTCCTCACTGTGTATATTTCCCAAGCATCCTCAAATGGAAGCTGTGTCATTTGATCCTTCCTCAAGCTCATGTCCTTCAGATTTATTAGGCCACACTTCCTGCAATTTCTAGGAGTCCTATACAACTGGCAAGAGAATTATGGCTGTCATATCGAAGGGTATCATGTTGAGGAAAGCTTCTATTCAGCAAATGAGGCTGATATATATATTCTGTCCAGAAATAATCAACCAATCAATCAATCAATCAAATGTATTTCTGTTCTCATCTCCTAGCCAAGAATGGCTCCCAAAGTGATGAATAAATAAAAACAATACAAATAAAACATTTCAAAGTGAATTAAATTACTCTTTTAAAACTCCTAAAAGACAGCCAAAAACAGTCCTTGAATCCAGATTTAAAACAGTCGAAGCTGCCATTTCAAACACTGTTTGCACCACTGTAGAACAGCACTGTTCAGGCTCAAACAGAAATGGGAGAAGCCAAACATCCTTGTGGAGGGAATTCCACAGTCAGGGCACTGCTACAGATAAAGCCCTGTCATGCGAACCCACCAACATAACTTCATGCATTAGGATCTTGCCTGAAGATCTCCAAATTCTGACAGGTTTATATGGAAAGGGATAGTCTTTTGAATCCTGAATTTAAAATTCTGGACCCAAGCCATTTAGGATTTGTAGGTCAATACTAGTGACTTGAATGTTCCTCAGAAATATATTGGAAGCCAGTGCAGTTCTTGCAAGACAGATGTTATATGGTCTTTAAAATGCATACTAGACACCAGTTTGGTTGCTTCCAAACACTTTTTCAAGAGTAGCCCCATGTAGAGCACATTACAATGATCTAAGGATGCTTCCAGACAGTGCCAAAACACGGGATTAAAAAGAAGGGCAGAAAAACCCGGGACCTCAGATCAAGTCTCCGCATATACTTGCTGGTCTCAGGCTTTCTTCCCTTCCCTTTTTTTTCTTCCCTTTTTTTAAAAAAAAAATTCCGCCTGATTTCTCTCTTCCCTGATTATTTATTAAAGCTCTGTTTAATACTATACAGGATAAAATAAACAGTTTTGGAGCGTTCTAATGGCTCTCAATTCATGCTTCCTTTGAATCAGCTGTGCGTCCGTTTGACAGCCCAATCAGCTGATCAGCTGTTTTGGGCTTCTTTTGGGCAGAAACAGGACAAAAGGGGACTTTTTTATCCCACAGTTTTCCTCCTTTGTACCGATTCAGCTTGCATTTATTGCTGACATTGTCTAGTCATCTCCCTTTCTAAAATGAAAACTAACGTGATTAAAGCCCTGTCTGAATGGGCCCTAATCAAGAGCTAAAAACTGTGGCCACTGCAGAAAAATATAACAACAATAACAAATATAATGACTGTAAGTCTGCAGAAACGAAGCATATACCTGACTGCATAGCCTTACCTAGCAAGAGGTTGGACAGCATTGTTGAAATGCTGATGGGTGAGAAGACCAAGTTGGAGGCTTGCTTCTCATTTTGGATGGCAGCTTTGTAGAACTCCACTGCAAACTCAGTGAGAGCCTCAGCCAACTTTGTATCATCTTCTGGAGTGGGATTAGTACATGAGGCCCATGGATTACTACGTGGTGGGCATGTGGTAGCTGCTGGTGTTGTGAGAATCGTGGTAGGATCTGCTTGCGTTGATGTTATCACAGGCATTTCTATAGTGTTTAAACATATTTGCATTAGTAAAAGGTTCCCAAAACCAAGAATTTATTACAGCTGGCTGTGATACCCTTACCTACTTCTTCCTCAGTAGATGTATCGTTCACATAAGCCATTTCTTCCTTCTCACCCTTTTCTTCCTCCTGTCTTTCATTAGTTGAAGCATTCACATGAACTGTGTCCTCTTCCTCTTCCCGCCTTTCTTTTTCTTCATCTGTTGTAGGACTCTCTTCACCAGCATTTTCCTTATCTGAACCCCCCTGTCAAGTACACAGCAAAATAATGTAATGCTTAACACATATTACAATCATATCATGTTTCAATGGCAACTGATGACTTCTATATCAGCAGGACAATGACCTCACTCTGCATTTTAGTATACACTTTAAAAGAAGAATCCAGGATATTGAACCTTTCTGGGGAATAGCATCCAGCATGGAAATAGCATCTTCAAAGTTTGGATTAGTTTCAGAGCATACTCACAGCCCTCTGACACTGAAGTCACCAGTTGCTACTGCAAATTTTAAGCTCCAGTTTCTATCCCCTAGCACAGTGTTTCTCTTCCTTCCAAATGCTGTGACCCCTTAATACAGTTTTTCATGTTGTGGTGACCCCCAATCTTAAAATCATTTTACTGTTACTTCATAATTGTAATTTTGCTACTGTTAAGAATCGTAATGTAAATATCTGATATGAAGGATGTATTTTCATTCACTGGACCAAATTTGGCACAAATATCTAATACACCTCAATTTAAATACTGGTGGGGTTGGGGGGATTGATTTTTGTCATTTAGGTGTTGTAGTTGCTGGGATTTAGAGTTCACCTACAATCAAAGAGCATTCTGAATTCCACCAACAATGGAATTGAACCAAACTTGGCTCACAGAACTTCCACGACCAACAGAAAATACTGGAATGGCTTGGTGGTCATTGACCTTGAGTTTTGGAGTTGTAGTTCACCTACATCCAGAGAGCACTGTGGACTCAATAATGGATCTGGACAAAAACTCAATCTGCCCAAATGTTAACACTGGTGAAGTTTGGGGAAAATAGAACTTGACATTTGGATGTTGTAGTTGCTGGGATTTATAGTTCATCTAAAATCAAAGAGCATTCTGAACCCCATCAACGATAGAATTGAGCCAAACTTTCCAGACAGAATCCACATGATCAAAAGAAAATACTGTGTCTTCTGATGGTCTTTGGCGACCCCTCTGACACCCCCTCACAACCCCCCAGGGGTCCTGACTCCTAGGTTGAGAAACACTGCCCTAGCAATAGCAAACGTGTCTACGTTTGTGAAACAGAATGTATTGACACACATTAAAAGCAAACAAAATGTTGGAAGCAACAACAAGGTCAACATAAATCTCTGCCTGTACAACACTGACTTTGTTGTTGCTTCCAACGTCTTGTTGCCTGAGATGCAGCAGCAAAGAGTTTCCTCAAGGATCATTGTAGCAGGAATCAAGACCAATTCAATTATCATGCCTTGGCACTGAGGGCATAAAGTTCCAAAGTACCTCTTTCCAATCTCATCATTAAAAATGCAATAATTAATAAAATGATTGGTTCAGTCAGGAAGAAATGGCCCTGAGTTTTCAAGGCCAGAATCTTAGAGCTCTCTCATATACTAAGGTCTTCATAAACTGAAATCAACTTGATGGCAAAGAATAACAAAATCACCTGAGCCTGCAGTGATAGATGTGTTGCAATGCCTTTAAAAATCCTCCTCACCAGGAGGGACTCAAATGTTTGCTCTGTTTGCCTTTGCTTCCTTTTTGAAGCTAAGGGAGTGTGACTTGCCTAAGGCCATCGAGTGGGTTGCTATGGCTGAGTGGGAATTCAGTCCCTGATCTTCTACTATCCTAGTCCAACACTCAAGCCAACACACTATACTGACTCCCATGTAGGTGTATGGCTGGAGCTTATTTAAAAGATCGATTGCCATTCCCAAAGGTTTCCCGGAAAGGCAACTCACCTGCTTTGGCTAGAAAAAGGGCATCCCAGGGTGCCTGGAATGGCCCAGAGATGCAAGAACAGTTGGGTGGGAGAGGTTTCCTGTGCAGTTGCATAGCCTTGCTCTCCCCAACCTGCTTTAAATGCCACAAACAAGTGAGGGAACAGCAGCACATGCATCTGTTTGAACCAGCTATGTAAATTAAGGAAAAGATAGTCAAGAGGCCATGAATGTGTAACACTGAGAAAGTTAAAAACTGAGCTGAAATCCAAGAATTATTGTATATATCTAAAAAAAACCAAAGTAAAGTTTCCCAGGGTTGGCATTCCCAAACTCCTGCTGCTGAAAGAGGATTAAAGGATTTGCACTAGGGCCACAGCTAAAATTGAAACATGATAAATTCAACCTGATTTGGGGCTGAAAATTAAGGTAAATTAATTCTCATTCTAATCTGAATTGTGCATCATACCTTGAAATATGCTAATATTTTTCTAAATGGATTAAAGGAAAGCCAACTGTTCGTGCTGTTTTCTTCTGGTTCAGGTTTTGCACATCCTTGATGCAAATGCCATGCAGAAATAAATTTATTTTAGTACACTATAGACATTCTTGTTCATCATAACTCAAAATAAATGGTTTCAAAAACGACCATGATTCTACTCTGAGAAGAATAGTTTTACTGTATTTCTATAAATTTCCTTTTCTCCATTTTAAAGGTGCTATAGAATTTTTAAAGGTGAAATAGATTAACATATCTATGTCTTTGAACACTACTGTGTAGAACACATGTGGCCGGGGGTTGTTTGTTTTTGCACAAAATCCACTGTTTACTGTACAAAAAATGTGGGTTTTTTGGCAAATTAAAGCTTCACAAAGAATCACTCACATATGAAATATCTATCAGGAATTGACTATTTTTGAATGGGGTGTTTCTGCATTGATACATTATTTCCTGTTATGGACAAGTAGCCCAGGACAGGACAACCTAATTCTGTTTTCAACCTAATTCTGTTGTCCAAAAACAGGAAACTGAGAGAGAGAACGCCACAGATACAGATGTGAGGCTACTACCACCGTACTGCGGCATTGTTGCCTGATAGAGTAACCTCACTCTACCTATCAGATCAGACATGGTAATACTATAATGAGAAAATAATCTAAATAAATTACAAAAACAGCAAGACAGTGAGACAAACCACAGATGACAAATTGAGCATAATAAACTGTAAATCAAACCCTAGAGTATACTACAGTAGGCCCTTGGAATTAACTGGATTTACATGCAAATTGCCAATAGTATTGATTTTGTGGGTGTACTTCAGGCAAAATCAACCTTTACATTAAGGCCTAAAACACCAAATCACTTATACCTCTAGGTGTCACAGGGACAGATGTCAATAAATGATACACAGTATATGAAGCCTTTGAATAGCCCAGCATGGTACAGGGTTTTCTCCTGTTACTCTACTTGCAGGTTTCCTGGGTTATTTTTTTTTTTCTTGTCATGTCAGGAGTGACTTGAGAAACTGTAAGTTGCTTCTGGTTGGAGAGAATTGGTTGTCTGCAAGGACGTTGCCCAGGGGACACCCGGATGTTCTGATGTTTTACCACCCTTGTGGGAGGCTTCTCTCATGCCCCCACATGGAGACCTGGAGCTGACAGAGGGAGCTCATCCACGCTCTCCCCGGATTTGAACCTCTGACCTGTAGGTCTTCAGTCCTGCGGGCACAGGGGTTTAACCCACTGTGCCACTGGGGGCTCCTCCCTGGGTTGGTAAACACCCAGGGTTAATCTAGCTAACTTCATTGGACTTCTGATGTGATTTGCACCCTGCTTGTGCACTGTATGATGTTATCTCACACTAATTTCTCCCTGTTTTCTTACCATCTTTGCATGCTGGCAAAATGGAATCTCACAGCCATCCCATGATTCTGGTGGCTGTGTGTGGATATTTGTCTTGCAAGCATGCCAAGATGGTCAGAAGACTTCATTTTCAGGAGTCAGGTGTTCCCTGGCTCCTGATTGAGGGCAGTGGCGGGAAGCGGAGGAAAGCCAGAAGAAGATGGGGAAACATCGTGAGATAGCTGTCCATCCCAGAAGATTGGTCACCATGATTGGTCAGGTCCCCATTCTTAAGAATGCTTTTCCCCGTTTTCCTCCCATTCCCTCCTGCCCATGGGAAGACCTTAGAGTGCATACACACTGTAGTTTAATACTGTTTTTACTATCATGGTTCAATGCTATGGGATTCTGGGATTTGTAGTTTGGTGAGGCACTAGCACTCTTTGGCAGAAAAGATTCCAAACCTTGTAAAACAAGTCCCATTATTCCATAGCATTCATGGAAGTGAAAATGTTGAACGGCATTCATTTTATAGTGTGGATGAAGCCACAGCCACAAAACTAGGTATGATGGCTTGCAACAAGGTTAAAAAAGACATCACCATACACAGAAATTTTGATGCATTGGTATGGGAATTTGGGATTTGGGTAGGGAGCTGATGAACAACTGCTCACTCACCTCTGAAAAGCTTACTGCCACTGTGGTAGCCAGGAATATGAGGATAAGCCAGGTCTTCATGGTAGCAAAGAGCCTGCCAACCAAATGCAGTAGTAGATGAAGTCTGGTACCCTGCTTTCCACCTTCCTTCCCCACAAGCCGCTTAAGTGGGTCCTCACTTGGAAGGGTTTGGCAGAATATCCCCTAAATCCCCACCCCTCTCAGGCAGCTGTTTGCCTTCTTTCCCTGACTGTTTGCAGGCTCAGCTCTCAAATTTTTCGCAATCTCTGATCACATGCCCAAGGAAAACATTAGTTTCACTTTCTTCAGGGGGAATTCCATTTCCCCAGTTCTTTTTTTCCTGAAAGGAAATCATATTAGAAGATGTGGTAAAACAACAAAACCTGTCAAATGAGGCAAAAGAAGAGGAGGAACCTAAGAGAAAGTAATAATACAAGATCCAAGCCATTACCTGGTTGGTTTCTCTCTCTGCGTGAAGCCCTTCAGACAATAAAACCAAACTATTGTGACATGCCTTATCTAGAGCTCCCTTCAAAGAATTTATCATGCAAGAGGGAAACGGGAAGAGGCTTAGCTGGCTGAAAGCAGCGGTCAGTTAAAAATTAAATATGATTGATTCCTCATGCACAGAGAATTCCCGTAAACCATGAGCTGGAAATGGGTATAGGAAATGCACTGGTGCGATAGTTACCAGTAAGAAAGCCAATATTGGTAAATAAAGCCTCTAATCAACACTTTCTGATGGATACCTAAAAGCCACTACACATGTTACAGATCTTTGATGTCGAAATAGACCCTGTTGTCTGAAATAACAATCAGATCTAGGCCCCATCTCCATGGCCATATAATACATTGAACTGCATTATATGAGTCTTACTTACTTAGGCGATCCCACATAGCCTGAGAGGATGATAGTCCTCCAAGTCTAGTGTTTTGGTGGTGGGACCGTAGGTGGCTGTGGAGCCCTATTCTTGATCCGCATGTTCTCCTGCATCTACACTGGTTTTTAAAATGCTGTATGTTATTGTTATTGTTTATTGTGTGTTTTTTCTTTGAGTTTTATTTTAACTGTTTTGTATTGATTATTTGTTATCGCTTTTGTCCCTTGGGGAGATGGTAACGGGGTACAAATAAAGTTTTATTATTATTATTATTATTATTATTATTATTACACTGCCACTCAATGAAGTTTCAAACAGCATTATATGGCAGTGGATATGGGGTCATGGATATAAAGTGTGTGTATATTTTGTTGTGTCTATACACAGGCTACACTTTCAACAATGTTTACATTTAGTCTGTGAAACTGCATAATAGGATTTCACATAAATATATAAAAATTAACATCATAAACAATTATGATATTAAAATATACCAAGATCACATAGCAAAGAAACAAAAACCCACCACCAAGAAATCACAGAGAATTTTAAATAATTCTAAATTTTACTGGAATAAAAAGGTGCTTCGAGACTGCTTACAGGTCAATGAGGAGAAGGGGTTATCTGGAGTTTTGTTGTAACTCAAACTCTCAGAGAGGCCTGGAATGGTTTCTAATCTTAGCTCAGAACACAGTGCTGTAAACTTTAGTTTCTTTGTAGGCAGAGAATTGTCAAAGATATTTCACACACTCCAAAACAGGAAACTTTTTTTTAATGGACGAGACTGGTAAAAAGGAAGTTGAAAGGAGAAGTTAAGGGGTCAAATCTTTCCGAAAGACTTCCTCCAAACGACTACAGTGATACCTTGAGTTAAGAGTTTCATTTGTTCCATGACTGAGCTCTTAACTCAAAATGCTCTTGTCTCAATGTTATTTTCCCCATTGAAATGCTATTGATCTGTTCCGGCCCACTGTTGGAAATAGCAGGGAAAACCCTGGTTTGTGGTTCCACTGTATGACATGTACTTAGCTACAATGTATAACGTGTCAGAACTTCATCTTTGCCACTATATCGCTATTTTGAACCAGAAGAATGCCAGCAGGTGACTCACAGCAGCTCCTGGTCTTCTTTGGATATTGTCTCAACCCTTAATAAAATTTATCTAAATGTCATTTCTTTATGTCTACATTATATCCTTGCCTATCTGTATATTGGTTTTGTATAAAGTATATGAAATGTATCCTGACAAGCACAGGAGATCGCCACCTCTACCTGACCTGGCAGAGGCTACATGAGCTCAGTAATGTCCAACTGTGCCCTGGGCAAGTTCTCAGCCCCGGCAGATGGCCCCACCATTGTGCATGGACAGTAAGGATGGACACTTTCCTGGCACCAATGAGAGATAAGCTCCAGGTGTGTGTACATATCATTAGTCTCCTGAGGCTAGGAGATCACCAACCATAAAGACAAAGACTCACAATATACATTAAAGTCTGGACCCTGATGCTGGAGATCATCACCCTTTGTTTCAGAGACTCTTGATTATCATAATCCCATCTTTATCACCCAAAACTGAACTATTGTGCCAATCAGAAGCCCCTAAGCCCTCCAATTATGGTCACAGGAACTTCATGGTGTTGTCACTTCCCAGATGGGTGCCCCTCACGGCTGATTAGACTATCAGAAACCAACCTTGGCCATCCCCTCCCAGCTGGTAAGGAATCCCCGCCTGGAATCAGTGACGCCAGCAGAGCCCAGCCAATCAGAGTGTGGGCCCAGGCTGGCCATTTCTCCCAGCTAATCTGGGGGGGGGGGGGGGGGGGGGGGGGGAGCAGGGAGCTTGAATGGAAATTTAACTGCTTAAGAATCTATGCTGCTTGTATTAATGTTTATGCTTGTACATTTTGGCATCAACTGTACATGCATCCTTTCTGACCGGATTCACATTTTCCAAAATCCACTGACGCTTGTCAGTTGTCTTCACCTGGTGAGTATGCGCTCTGATCTGAAACTTTCTGCTCTTAGCATAATGCTTGCCAGGTATGGATCCATTTATCTGCAGTCCATAACTCTAAATTTGACCTCGCAAATATTTGCTGATGATAGTGTACTATTATCTATAAATAAGGCCTAAATAGCCCAAAGGTTCCAGATGTGGTGTGATCTTGGAGGCTAAGCAGGATCAACGTTCATTTTTTATTGGATATGTATATAAGCTATCACAATTCACAATCACATCACTTAAAAGTCAGAAGAAATGAACAAACAACAATTTTTCATTCAATTATCATATATTTTAATATGTCTTGCTATAAGTGGTAAATATATATGGAATTGGAAAGGTCAAGAGAATAAGACATATTAAAATATATGATAATTGAATGAAAAATCGTTGTTTGTTCATCAACCCTCAAGAGCATTTGAAGGGGAGGCTGCCAATGAATGCTATATGCTATATGCCAGGCATCATAAAATTGTGATCCTCCAGCTGTTTGGGCCTCCAATTCCTGGAAGCCCAAGCCAGTTTGTTCAATGGTCAGGAATTCTGGGAGTTGGAGGCCCAAACAGCTAGACAGCTGTTGGTTGAGAATGTCTGCTGTAAGATATATTTCAGAAGGAGAAAATGCCAAAGCCATAACTGATTATTCCTTCCCTAATGTCCCATCTACACTGCCATATAATCCAGTTTCTGAATCCAGATTATCTGCTCTGAACTGGATTATATGGCAATGTAGACTCATATAATCCACTTCAAAGCAGATAATCTGGATTCAGAAACTGGATTATATGGCAGTGAAGAGCCAGCCCTATGAAATTCATAGGGGTTCCATAAGTCAACAGGTGACCTGAAAGCACATACACAAACACATCTATTGTACTACAAAAAAAATCAGTTACAAAATATCAACATAGCAGTACTGAAAATAGCTCATGCTATTTTTCTGTTCTTGGTGTAGCAGGCTGGTAATTCCTCCCTGAAATGTGTTTCTCAAGCAAGTAGTTGTTCAAATACAGTATGGTCTGGAGAGATAAGTCTAACTACTTGAATGATCTGGAGGATGGTCAAAACAAGTTTAGGTGGTTACTTATTGGTTGCATAATGGACCATCAGTACCTACTGGTATTTGATTCCAGGACTTCATACCAAAATATATGGATAAAAGAACACTAAATAATTTAACAAGGCATAATATTTAACACAATGCTTAATGTTTCAGGACTGTACATCTAAAAACTGCACACCAGGAAGTAAATTACCCTGCCTAAGTGGAGTATCTTGCATTTGTCTCTGTTGAACTTTGTTTTGTTAGTTTTGGCCCATCTCTCAAATCTGTTAAGATCGTTTTGAATTCTTCTCCTGTCTTCTGGAGTATTGGCTATCCCTCCCAATTTGGTGCCGTCTGCAAGCTTGATGATCATGCCTTCTAGCCCTTCATCTAAGTTATTAATAAATATTTTGAACAGGACCGTGCCTAGGACAGAACCCTGCTTATGGCACCCCACTCGTCACTTCTTTCCAGGATGAAGAGGAAGCATTGGTGAGCACCCTTCAGGTGGAAATTGACTTTAGAGTTGCATTGCAGGAGCCAGAGAAGAGGTTTCTCGGGCAAAAAATCGTATTTTCTTTATTTGTGTTTCCCCCACTTTTGGAGTGCCCATGTCTCAACCCCAGCAAATGTAGAGGGCTGACTGTAGTTTAGAAATTCTGAAAAGCGAGTTGTAGTTTCACTACTTCACCAGCAATGCACTGTGTCTTTGAAAGGCAAATAACTGGAAGAAATTTAATGGGCAAGTCTTTCCGCTTCGTTGTGCTTCAATAGCTAGGGGTGTGCATATGAGTGTGGAGAAACAAAACAAACAGATGACAGCCAGAATCTTTTGTGAGCACAGTCTCTTTCACTCAACTTCTGGTCTGTGCACAAGCATCTCAGAAATGCAGCCCATCCTTTGTCTTTTGATTTTAGAGAAACAAGGCCCATGTTTGCTGTAGATAGCTTCCTAGCTTGGGTACTCTTGCAGTTGTGACATTTCAACTGTCCTTGAAAGTTAACCAAGTGATTGAGCTGGATTTGGGGACATGCAGACCATTCATCCAACTATGGTGGCTTTCATGAAATTTAGGAAGTGATCCCATGTAGTGCAAATCATGTTATTAAAACTGAAGAACTTTATTTCAGGCTCTCTTTAATACTGGGTGCCTCAAGTGTTAGAAATGACAACTTTCTTCAAACCTTTGCTAGTAATGTTTAATTTATCTATGATCCTGCTGCTTACTGTTTCCTGTATGTATGTTCTGGTATCCAGCTTCCTTTACTCTATGGTTCCTGAGAAGTTATAAAAGAGACTGCAGACCACTACAGACAGAAGGACAGACTACTTCAGACTACTGCAAACTACTTCAGATCACAAACTTCTTTGCTGTTTTGTTGTAAGAGATGTCCTGGCCAGATGGCACAAAGAATTATCTCAAACATATCTGAAACTGGACTGATAAGTTTTGTACCTGTGTATGCTGAACACATGAAGGTTGTGAGTAAACCAAATATGCTAATTTTTAAAAATCAAAGTCTACTTCATTTTTGTCTCTTGAGTGCATGATATAAAACAAGTTGTTTTATGGGAGAGTATATATATATATATATATTGGGCACTGAAAAACACTTCTGAAGCAC